CAAGTGCCTTACTAGTAGTAACAAGAAGCTAGTAGTAACAAGTGCATCGCTACTAGTAACAAGTGCCTTACTAGTAGTAACAAGAAGCTAGTAGTAACAAGTGCATCGCTACTAGTAACAAGTGCCTTACTAGTAGTAACAAGAAGCTAGTAGTAACAAGTGCATCGCTACTAGTAACAAGTGCCTTACTAGTAGTAACAAGAAGCTAGTAGTAACAAGTGCATCGCTAGTAGTAACAAGTGCCTTACTAGTAGTAACAAGAAGCTATTAGTAACAAGTGCCACGCTAGTAGTAACAGGTGCCTTACTAGTAGTAACAAGAAGCTATTTGGAACAAATACACCTTCGCTGCTCACAGCCGTGCCTTTGGACTTCAGGACCGGAGACTTCGAAGACTTCCCCTTCGTGTCAATGAAGACGTCTCTCGGCGCGGGCCCGTGAGGCTGAAGAAACAAGCGAAAGACCTCCCTGGCACGTCTTTGTGGGTCGTTTTAAACCAATGGCCTGAAACAAAAGTCCTTCAACAAGCAATAATTACCGTACAAAGCCTTAAGTGCAATGTTTTCATTGATCAAAGTCAAGCAAGGGCAATGCCCAGATTCCTTTTAATAGCCTTGAGTCATGAGTCTTGAATTTAATGATTACTGTATAGTAATATAGTAGTGTAAAGGGCAAACCCTACAAATATATAGGGTCTCCATCGAAACATATCGAAACCTCGGGCAATATGTTTCAATCCCGTACTAAACCATACTACTGGTCGGGAACACCTAGGGTTTCCTACGGAAACTCTAGTTTTTTTTCCATCGATCCTATACATTTGTATGGTTTTGGGTGTGTAGGGTAGATATGCAATATGTGAGGCCACCCAATAGCTGCCCAAGACTCACATTTCACATTGCTGCCAGCTTTGTAGCTTTACCATGTGCCCCTGAGAAAGGGCAAGCACAGCAAGCTATAGGGATGGATTAAAATCTAAAAAAGGGATGGTGATCATCCACGAAAGCACTGCAAGCACAAGTCCTGTTGTTCAACAGCTTTGATCGTTTTCGATGACATCATACACCTGTCAGGGAGTATCGCTCCCTCTAAATGACCTTACTTCGACCAAGGCACGAGCATTACTACGTGCGTTGGGCCAGTGACCTGGCCCGTGCAACGCGCGAGGCACCGATCGCAAGGGCACTCAGTTTCCAGAGGAGCCAGTTTCTTTTCTTTTTTCTTTGTTTCTAATAGCAATGGCCTCCAACCCAATAGCGATGGCTAACAGCGATGGCTCCGACCTAATAGACCTAATAGCAATGGCCTCCAACCTGGGTAGGTAGAGAGAAGCGAACTTGTGACTGACTCATGGTCCTATGGTGATGAGGATGAGGACAATCAGTCAAGGTACGCCAGGTACAGCGTTTGGGGTACAGGGGGCAATTTCCGGCTCAGATACCCAAGAACTCTTTTCTACTTACTATATTTATTGTAATATATACATTCAAGTATATACACACTTGCTACCCATTTGTTGCTTCTGTTTCCGAGTGGCACCCATGAAAGCTTGCCATCGCACCGGACAAGCTTTCCTGATTCAGTTGACATTTGTATGGGTCTTCACTGGCGATCTGGCCCGAGGTCTTCAACGATCTTTGCGACGGCGTCTTGGTGTCTTGGCCGGACCATCGATGAGATCGGTCGATCGGCACGGTCCAGGCGGCCCTTCTTGGACCCATACCCTACAGCCCTTCTTTGAGGGGGTGACAGCAGGTAGTCTAAAGGGCCCAAACCCAACTTGCAACCACAGCGATGTGCAGAATCATTACACAATAGATACACTTTGATGTGACTAGCAAACACAAGAATCCTGCACTTTCGATTCCTTGAATTTGTTTAAAGGATGTTTAATCGAATTTGATGGTTTGAGCATGTTTGACCACTGGTTTCCCATGGTTTCCCATCAGCATCGCCTTGAGGTTCATTGGATCAGAGGCTCGGAAGAGCTCTCCCGCTCCATCAGCACCGCCTTTGACCCCACCCAGTTGCGATTGATCCATGGCCGCCCCTCGGCAGCACTGGCGCCTAGCCAGTTCTTGTTGTGCTTTGCCAGATATTTGCACGCAGTAAATTGAGGTCAACATCTTGAATCAACTCAGCATGAATTTTGCCCAAGCATCATAGTATCCTCATGTTTCATGCGTTTCATCATTTTTCCGCGCTGGTATTTTCTATGAAAATCAACTCCACGCTGCAACCTTTTGCCGTTGAACGGACAAACTCCCTCCAGCCCGCTCAAGCCTCTTGGGTCAAAAGATTCTCAACAGCTCAAAAATATTTGCATTGTTTAAAGCATCCAATTTGATGCCTATTCATGCCTTGGTTGCTGGGATTCGGGCCAAAGAACTTCAACTTTTATGAACATCCACCTTGGCAGCACAAAGGCAAAACAATCTGTTTCAAGGACGTTTACCTTCAGATCATGAGCGCTCAAGGTCTTCTCTCCACACATGAGCAACCGCCCAAATTTGCACTGACCAATTCATTTGGTGAAGAGCAGTCGTTAATTTCAGGACCTAAAACCTGCAAAAGAGATAGGCCCTATTGGCCCCCCCCCCAACAGCGATGACCGAACGCTGAATCATGTCCTCTACTTCTTCCACATTTTGCCAGACGCTCACATCTGACATCTTCTCTCCCCACACTTCTCAGGTCTGCTGCATCCCGTAAGCGTGAACTCCCATGCGTGGCTTGGCGTAGATGTTCTCAAGTTATTTCAGAGGTTTAGATTACATGTAACAAGAATGCTACTAGGAACAAAGGGCATCGCTACTAGGAGCAAGGACGCTACTAGGGGCTCCTGGCCTTACTACTAGGAACAAGAAAGCTTACTGGGAACAAAGGGATTCGAGACTGTGATTCGAGACTCGAGAATGTGGGCACCCCATGTTTGGTCTTCGGATTTGCGCTTCCAAAGCACCGTTCCGGTCCACTTCCATGCGATTTTTGGTCGGAAGACAAGGTCGAGTCTTGGAGTCTCTGGAGTCTCTGGTCCTTCGAAGATGTGAAAAAAGAAACACATGCACCACATTGCTTGTGAGTTGGGAAAGCGACCCTTTCTTCTGTTTGCATAAGGGGGTCAGTCCTGCACATCTGGAACAAGGTAGTCACATGTTTTGAAAGTGTCAGATCTAATTATGTGTTGTTTTTGAATCAGATGGATTAGTTTGGTCATCGACCAAGATTGGACGCATGCCCTGCGAGTGGGACAGTGTCCGGCTGTTTACGGCTATGAAGGGGTCTCGAGCACCGTTCTATATTTATCTTTAAGCCCGTGGCCCTGCCTCCTTAATTAGATAACTGCCTACTTAATTAAGTCAGGGAGTAAGCTCAGGGCGACCAGTAAGCTTCTAGTAGCTGGGACGCAGGATAGCTCATGCTCAGCCGGGGGGGATCTTCCTTGAAGAAGCGCTCGAACGAATGATTTGGTTTCTAGATGTTTAGGAAACTTATCATCACCTCCCTCGTTCACAATGGCTTTTGCTGAGGCTTTTCGGTGTCCCAAACGCACTTGGACATTCCACTGGGTGTTTCTAAAAGCAAAACTTCTCCCCAACCTTTAACATACCCGCTTCCATAGATGGCCTTTAACATTTTACTAATATTAATTAGTTGGTTGATCTATACAGGGAATAGCTCCGATTGTGAACAACCAATTGACCCCAGGCGGGCTGGCTCGCTAAGTGGCACCATCCGAAAACGCTGCTTGCCTCAATGCCACGAGATACGGGTGAGACTGAACATGTAAAAAGCCATCAGCAAAGAGCTGACGAGGTGCCGGGTGACATGACTTGCAGTTGGTTGAGCGAGTGCGCTTCAAATTGGAAAGCACGAATCATTAGGACATAGTTCAAGTTCTGCATCCTCATCGTTTTGCGGATGTTTTTTGGGGATCAGAATGCCGATCCTTTTCAGCTTCATTTGCACTCCGGGAGGGCAACAAGAGAATCACGTCTCATACTGTCACACGATTTCACCATCATGTCATCACCTACCCGGTGTTTGCACAGGTGGGATGGGCCAGAGTGGTGTGTTGTGAAATGATTCGAATCTCAGAGGATCCAACTCCAAACCCTTCAGTTGAGGAGACCCGCCAGCATGAGCACCCCCCCCGTCGTCCGTGGAAGAAGCGGAGCCCTTCCTAGGTCTCCTTCGTGCCTTGCTTTGTTTTACTCCAACTCCTGGGGGATTTTTGACATGCTCAGGAGAGACCTTTCTGGCCTCAATCGATGTGACGACTTCCCAGCGGATCTTGTCTCTTTGCGAGGAGTCCGAGGAGTGCGACTGATTTTGCTGCTTGGGGAGTTGGGCGAGACATCTACGGCTGAGGGGTTGGAATCTGGAAGGTTCTGGATGAAGACATCTTGGTATTTCTGGTTTTCAGACTCTGAAACAGTTGACCTAATGTTGAAAATTGTTGTGCTCAATCTTTGTTTGATGGGTGTCTCAGTATGTTCTTTCCAAGTAGCACTAACACTAACAATATGTCTCTTGGTGGAGTGCTCCCGAGACTCTGAGTGCTTTACTTTCTCTTGAAATGAAAGTCTATGAGAGTCTTTTGGCCAAGCAGCCACCCGATGATTCTCGGGAGGATGTCAGCTCGGGCCTGTTGATCACTTGGGAGAATGAGAGGGTCCCGGTGCTGATGGAGGAGTGAAGCAGAGGACCGAGCTGATCTGAGCTACTGACTGGAGCTTTTCGAGGGTCACTGGAGGCAAACGGACAAACCTCATTTGTGTACAAGCAGCACCGTGGCCCTTGTCGCTCATACCTGGGTGTTCCAGTGAGTCAAAGTGTGTTGCAGCTGTAAACAATTGCAAACATGCACCCACCGAACATTGATTCCGATTTGGTTTCTTAAGGGCACAAAGATGTTGGTGGCTACTCGCAGAATCATAAGAAGTCCAGTGAGGAAGATGGTGACGTTTAATGGGGAAAAGAAACTGAGGTACTTATTGCTGCATCAATTTTGTGGTGTGAATGACCCGGTTCAAAAGCGAAGACAACTGTGCCGGTTTGGGTATTCTTGTATATTCTTGTCATTGGAGGAGCCATCAATCAAATTGTGAATAGATTGTTTTTGGTTTATGTGAGTCAAGCCGCGCCACCAAAGAGGAAATGTTCTCGCACCCGACCCTCCAACGTGGGCAAAGTCATCTGGGACACCCTGAAAGACACGTGTAATTACTGTACTTTCTTGTCAAGGTTGTCCATGTTCAATCATGCCAACAGAGGGTTTGCGGATGGATTGCTGCACTCGTTCACTGTAGGACCGGATGAGGATCGAACCTATAGTGAAGCAGGAAATCCGAATATCGCCACCTGCAGTCTCAAAATAAGGACATGAATTCACATTTGGACCAAGCCCAAAAAGGGATTTGTGCCATTTGGTGCCCAATGTGCACAGATTATTTGATTCCGGGTACAGGCAGATGCCAAGAATCCGAGTTTCTGCACCCAAACTCTGCCGTTTGCGGATCAATGGCTGATGATTCACTATGCGACCGACTCTCGCTGTGTGCGAAAAAAAAGCGGCCATTTGAGGGCGGTTTAAGGCGGTTTTGCTTGAAAGAAACGGGTTCTTGCTTGACTCTGTCGAAACACGTGGGATCACAGTGGCCCACATCCAATCGCATCTTCATGCACAGTTTGTTGCTTACAGTCGCAAGTCGCATTTTTTGTGGTTTCCCTATCCAGTGCTCGTACACTGGTTTGTTCTCTTGGTGGATCCACCAATTTTGTGGATCACAGCGGGAGAATTGGATCCAACGGGACTGATGCCTCCGTCATCCCGTCAAAGCTGGCACGGTTTTGCCCTAAAAGTCACTCAGCCGAGGAAGTATTGCGTTGCACCAGTCATGGCAATGGGGCAAGAATACACAGGCAGGGGTAGCATGGGCGTCCACCCTGTTGGCTTCATTCAGTGAGTCAATCACTGTGTGTGTGTGGGTCTTACTGTAACTGATTCACGTTTCAAGAATGGGAAGGTTACCCTGCACTAATTGAGCTTGTTCTAGAAACAATGTTGTTGCAGTTACTTTGACATTTGCTTGTGCTCAGCTGTGGCTTCCAAAAGACAAGTAGAATGTGCTCTATGCTAGCTCAGGAAGACTATTCAGATGAGGAAGCCCCCTTGACAACTACCTATTGGCTCAGACATCATCCTCCATTGACAACCCCATCCGAACGGCTGGAACAGTGGCTGTGATCATCTTGAGCATCCTGCCGTACGTAGAGGCAGAGAAACAGTGCGACCACGGTATTGAATCGGGTCCGAGATGGTCAGGCACCTTTGCTGCGCAGTACTTCGCCACTGGCAAGGAGCACGATGCTAGGAGCGCGATCGCTATGCTCCTTTCCTCTGAAGAGACCATGCCCCGCGCAGGCCAATCACATGTAGGCCATGGGTGAAGAAAGGGTTCGTTGATGTGATGACTAAGAGCAATATGTGAGAGGATCACCCCAGGGTGACTGGTGAGTTCAATACCGAACATGAGCCCAGCCGGAGAAATCTCCCAAAACTTGTGGAGGGGATCTTGGTGAGCTAGGAACAGTGCAGGCATATCATGCAGGAGTCCCAATCAATCTACCCTGCTATTATGTCCTCAAATATCATCAAATTGGTGTAAAAGAGCAGCAGCATCCACGAGTAATTTGGTACTCGAGAACAGATGCCTTTCGTAGCGGCACACCTGACGCGCGTTTGCTCTCCATGGGCTGGACTGTGAACCTATTTTGTACCCTCCAGCCCTCCAGAGTTCAACATCACTTATATAAATGGTCAGGTGCACTGCGCCGAAGCAAACCCTGCCGGATCCACAACATGGAAAGCAGGTTAGAGATGGTTGGAGGTCTTTAGCAGCATTGGTGAATGGAACTCATAGACCCTGAAGCTTGTCCACCACACCTTTCATAGCATCATCTTTCTTCAAACATCATCGGTGGCACTTCCTCATGCATGCGATGCCAGACATCTCGTGTGAAAACACCCGCAAGGGGCGGAGCCCGGGTTGTTGCTCGACCAGGACTGCTGCAGAGATTTGGAGTTCACCTGTGGCGATGCCTTGGACGAGGTCCGACACCCGGGGGTCTCCCAAGCGCGTTGATGTTTGCTTGTTACACTGATAGATCAATGGTGCTTGTTGTAAAGGGATGGAGCGGGATCTGAAGAATGTTCGAACATGTTTGGAAGACAAAATGATTGTTTCATTCATCTTAACATTTATGATTGAGTCATTTGGATATGGCTCATGAATTTGAAGAGAGTAATTACGGACTTTGTTCATATGTATGCATAATCACAGGGTGACTGGATACCGCTTGTACTGGTTGGTACCCATGGTTCAAAGTGCCATGGCCCTTCATGCTTTCATGCGCTGGAAAGCAGCCACCCAGGCTGCGCATTCGGGCTTGGTGATCTTCAACAAGACACAGACAGCTTGAGCTCCCAGCATTTGGAATCTCTCAGGCATCAGAGATGTATAGAGGAACCTAATAGCGATGGCCTCCCACTTATCTTATATATTGCAAATCACTGAAAGTTGTGATATTATCCGGTTTTGAGTTCTCAAGGGCTCAAGTTCCCTTTGCTTGACGTCAATCTTTGGTTCCTGAGTTGTCGTGAGATCTCGTTTTCTGTAGATCGCTTAATAGTGTCATATTACAAGCAGGTCACAGTGGTCAAAACATCAAAAAACAAATTAATGAATGGTCAGCGATCCGGATCCTCATGTTGTTCTGGTCATTCCTTCGGGAACTTTCCCTGAAGCTCAAGCTGGCAAAATCCATCAAAACCACGAGCTTGGAAATCAAATATGATATTGATATTGTATGATATGGATTGCGAATTGAGGGATTCTGTTTAGCCCTATAAATGTTCATGATGCGGAGTTAAGAGAGTTCCATCAGATGTGCTTTGCGACGCGGAAAGCCAGATTCTTGCGAAGCTGACGCGATGTGCTGGGGAGCAACACTCGTCATCTCGAAAACCCATGTAGAGGTCAGAGAGCCCTTGCAGAGTTCTTGTTGCGGGGGTGTTTCACCGCGTTTGTCATGTTCCTCACTACCCATCACACAAGAACCGGAGAGGATGGTTTCTGGGCCGTTTGCCAGGTATGCACCCAATGACGGTTCTGCAGGTCCCAAGTAGCACAGTTCCAAAGGCGAGTTTCACCACTTTTTTGTGGGAACATTTCATGAGCAGGTAGTAGAATGCCTTGGGTTTGGGAGCATTCGATGAGAATTTGCAGGTGGATGGAGGTCCACGCTACATGACCCCCAAAACCAGTTCAATTTGTTCATCTCCGAGGCACTGAGCTGGGCCTTCGCACAAGACCTGGACTATTTCATGAAGGCTTTGAACTTCATCGCACTCAATCTCACTTCATCACACTTCATCGCTTCCGGAAAAGAACAACGCCTTTTTGTAAGCCCAAAGAGACACCGGCGATGCAGGTGGGACACGGAATGACGGTTCTTGGCCCGAGTTCGCTGGTCCAAGAAGGGAGCAGACAGCACCATCGTTGATGTCCACAAAACTGAGGCTTTGAGGTTCAGGGACAGATTCTAGAGAGAATGACGATCAGAACCGCGAAAGCGACATATGGGCACTTCCCAAGCATGCTATGGACTAGTTTCTTAAGCTTTTCCATCAACCCTGTGTTCCAGACAAGGATGACGAGTTTTGTGTTTGCCAACAAAAGGAATCACTGGTTGGATTCTTTAAGAATTTCAACCCGATGAATGTCTTCAGGCCTTTGGTAATCGGTTTGGTTTGATTCCAGCACCTCGTTTGTGCCGTGGGTCTTCTTCCACTTGTTCCAGCATGATCCTTGTCATTTTCAGGATTCACTCTTTGCTCTGAAGCATATGTCCTTTTTGGGGGTAGGAGCAACAACGCTACTAGGGGCTCCTGGCCGTACTACTAGGAGCAAGAACGCTACTAGTAACAAGTGCATCGCTTCTAGTAACAAGTGCCTTACTAGTAGTAACAAGAAGCTATTAGAAACAAGGGCATCGCTACCAGGAGCAAGAACGCTATTAGGAAACATCTTGGTATCTTTAGAGCGAACACCTCGTGCCTCGTCGCTCCTTCGCTCCTCCAAGGTCCACTGAACAGAAACGCCCGGCACCGGACGAAGACCGGACAGACCGGACTGACCGTCAGGCAGCGCGCATGGCGAGCGCCCGTTTTGGGATCCACCTGGCGGAGGAGCCAATCTTCGTCTCCTGGGCACCTCGGCTGACACCAACCTGGTCGGAGGTGTGTTTTCGTTGAACCACTCAATTTTTGGTTTGGGAAGAAGCCCTGGCACTGGACTGTTGGGCCTGTTTAGGGCCTTTCGACAGCCTGATGAGTCACAGTCCTGGACTGATCTTATTTAACAGGTATTGTAGGATTCGGAGTGAGAGAAGAAATGCTACCTCAAGCATTCTTCATTAGAAGTCATGCAACATTCAATGAACAATTTTTGTCCCTTGGAGGCCATCGCTATTAGCTTTTCTTTCACGACCTGTTTTTCTTGTCAGCTTTTTGTGTTTTTGTTGGTTCCTTGAGTGATGGAGGCAACCTGCAACCTGGATCAGTGGGGCAGTTTAAACCTCGACCCCCGGAATGTGGAGCGGTAAGCATATCAGGCATATCATGCATCAAGACCTGAAGACGCAAGGCTCAAAGATCGATTTTGTTGGCGGTACCATACCTCCTGGCCTCCCTCTCTCTCTTTCTCTATAATATATCTCTTTATCATCTCTTTATCTGTTTTTCTTGTTGTGTCGAAGCATGTCACCGGACGCTGCGCTGAAGGTCAGTGATACAAAGACAGCGCCTCGGTTGCAGCACTGACGTTGAGGTCCAGTTCCTTTGACTGTCAGGGCCCTGCCCAGAGCTCCACTCACCAGCTGACAATATCGTGGCACGCGAGACCTTGGTGTTTTTTTCTTGGATGCCTGCTTGAGAGAGGTTACAGCATCTCATCGAGGAGGTGCCAATGTCCAAGGTGTTTCTTGTTGTTGTTCATTTGTTCTGAGAGTGTTGTCCCTGATGTGTCCCTTATTTAAAAAACAAGCACTTATAGATCAATTCCATAGTGGAGGCAGGATGTAACACATGCATGTAACTATATGTAACTACAATAATTCCATAGTGGTCGCTGCTATTGTCGCGCCAAAAGTTATCGGCATTCGCGCAAAGTGTTCCTATATGGACCTGCACTCGCTGAGACCCGAAAGGTTTATTGAAGTCTGGTTTGTAAAGTCATGGTGTCATTTCTTGTTACAACCTTTTCATAGGGAATTATAATTAAAGAAATAATCCATGTCAATCCCAACTTCAAATATTCTTCAGGTTGCAACCATTAACCCGAAGTTCTTGTGAATTGATTGCTGAGCTTGTTGACTTTTGGGGTTTTGCTATTGGTGTTTGTTTAGCCACACAGACTCGCCCCGTGATGCCTCCAATGGGTAAGGCCATGGCAAATCTTTGGCCGGAGGTGCGGGGAACGAAGCGTTGGGAAAACCAGACGGAAAAAAAGGAAGGATGGTATGGCCTCCAACCTACTACTCTAGCGATGGCCATATTGGCTCAATATGGGTTAATACTCACTACATCTCAATGCCCAGCGTCCCCAAGAATACATCAGCGAAAGGGCATCAGAAACTAGTAGCAAGAAGCTACCAGCAACAAGGGCATTTCCGCGCCATCAGGACCATCAGGTTGAAGTCATATCAAGGTCCAAGTGCAAGGTGTGCATACAGGGGGTGCATCGAACATCCCAGTGTTTATGCGTTTCAAGTGCCAAATGAAGGCCAGTTCTAAGCTACAATTCTTCAACTCACTGACAAAAGTCCAGCTTCTCATGATGATGAGCCATGCCTTGTTCCTGCGTCCGCAGTTTCGACACGTGGGCCACGTGGGACCCAAACGTGATCCACAAACACAATCAAACACATCACCTTGGAACCCAGGGGAGGCGAGTGACCGGAACTAGCCAAGAAACTTCACTGTCTTTCGACATCGTCATCACGTCGCGGGAGGGGCTGCTGGATCTCACACGACATGTTCACTCGCCAGGCGAGAAACATTTGGCTGCTCTCCTCCATGTTGGCCCTGCCAGCCTTCGCGGTGATCAGCTTTGCCTGTGAGGTGCGGCTTTTGGGGCACAGAGTAGATCCGCAAATTTTGGTTAGCAAGCATGCTACTAGTTACTAGTAGTAATGCCCTTTGTTCCTAGTAGCTTCTTGTTGCTAGTAGTAAGGCCAGGAGCTACTAGAAGCATCCTTGCTCCTAGTAGCGATGGCCTAATGAATGTCGATGACATGGATCGTGAACAACATTTTTTGTTTGTTCCATCCAACACTCCTGGCCTATTTGCCCACACTAGGGTGGTTGGAGGAGTCTATATAGGGTCAATGTAAACATGCCATGGATTGTAAGGGTGTCTTGGGAGTAAGTCTTTCACCGGGATTTAAAATTTGATGGCAATTGTTTTTCCGGGAGTTTTGTTTGCATTTCCGCTTTCTGCTGTTCTGCTTCCCGCTTCTTTGCTTTTCTGTTTCTTTGCTTCTTCTTGTTGCTTTTCCACTTTCTGTTTTTTTGGTTCGTTCCCTTTTCTGCGTGTTTGCTGTTCTGCTTCTTCGCTTTTGTTCTTTTTGCTGAATATATCGCTTCTTTGCTTCTTGCTTTTTGTGTTTCTCTCTCTCTCTGTGTTGTATGCAATTTGCATGCGTGTTTCTTGTTTGTTACTTTTCTTTGCAAGGCAAGTTGTTCTGTTTCGTTTGGGTTTTCTTGTGCAATTGTTTTTTTTGTGTTTAAACTTTTTGATTTGGTCTTTGGTTTCTCGTAAGGCCCACCTGCATAACGTTGACAAACATGTGACTGAACGTGCCGCCTACACGCCGCAGCAGGGGACATGACATCCCATGCCACAGCATTGCAAAACACTAAAAGAGATCCTGCCAAAAGCAGGATCGGTGGTCGTGATCTAGAAGAAAGAGGCATAAACATCAAAAAACATGCCTTCCCTAAAGGAAAAAACAACTGGCAAAGCATCCCAAACCAACTTGCGAACTGTCGACAGGTTTGCCCCTCTAGGCCCTTCCAGGAAGTGCTAGAAGGTATACAGGTATCCACAGAGGTAAAATAGACAATTGAATTCAAGTGGCACTTGTGTGAACCACCCAACAATTGTATCTAACGCGCTGCATGCATTGAATTATGAATTCATGTGTGCGCACTCAGCTCGGGAGGGCAATCTCGTCCAAAAAAAGTTTTGTTTCGAAGACAGTTCTTTATTCGCTGATAGAGACCGCTGCGCTTGTGAAATGGAATATCATCGTATGGTCATTCCAACGGGGAATCTTTCTCTAAGAAAGGCGTCTCCAAACGAACATAGTGTGGATAGCATTGGTTAAGGAGTGAGGCATAATCTCGAACAAGTTCAATGAGTTTCGGTGAATCAGGCAGGGTTGGCCTAGAGGCGATACCTCCCACCGTACTATGCAATTGCACCATGCTTAAAACAAATGTCATGTACATATGTGGACCAAACATTTGTTTGATTTTGACATATGTTGATTTTCACTAAACAAACCATGAAACATGGCCTATCCTTGCTCTGCATCGGTGGATCCGCTTGAGTTTGAGGAACAAAGCAACAGTCGACTTTGTAGTTCCACGGCGACTGTCAAACTTATTGGACTCGTTTGGACTGGTTGGGTGTTCTTTTTCCCATTTGAACTGGGTGATTTGATTCACTGCCCCAAACGACACGGAACCCGTCTCAGGCCTTCAAGCGGGCAGGACCTGAACTCTGGAGTTGGGGAACTCGGTCGATTATATATGGTGCAAAATTTGCACGACTGAAAGATGGTGCAAACATCACAACTTTGTAAAGTTATGTTAGATGCTATTTTCAAGGAACCTATGTAGTTCAGGAGCCAGCTACAGGCTGCTCATCTACTACGGGCGAGGGATGGCGAGGGTGAATGAGAGGATTTCAACCTTGCGAGGAGCCCTTCAAGTCAGTTGAAGCAGCTCGATCTTCGAAGTTGTACATGTGTGTGTGTGTGTTGCGTTGTCTCTCCACGGGATGTATGTGCAGTCCAAGAACATGAGTACTTTGCATGTGAGCGCGCAACCCCAAATATGTGCAGCTGACTCCTAAAACCAAGCACGGCTGTACGCATGGTCGCAGATTTGGTTGGGAATTCTCAATCCAGGAGCAAGAAGCTACTAGTAACAAAGGGCATCGCTACTAGGAGCAAGGACGCTACTAGGGGCTCCTGGCCGTACTACTAGGAGCAAGAACGCTACTAAGAGCAAAGGGCATCGCTACGTATTTTAGGAACAGCTGGTCGGTCCAAGGTGGGTCCCAAAGATCACGCGGGGCAACGCTGAGCCCCCCAACCATAACTTCTTGTTCCAATTCTAATAAAATCCTAATTCTGATTCTTAGCTTCTTGTTTCTAATAGCAAACATTGTTACTAGTAGTATGGCCAGGAGCCCCTAGTAGCGTCCTTGCTCCTAGTCGCGATGCCCTTTGCTCCTAGTAGCGTCCTTAGCACCGCGGAATTGATGTGTGCGACATTCGCCTCGGACCTTGGAGACACAGCCACCCAGTGGGCCACCCTATGAGACGTGTGAGTTTGTGCAAGCTCAAGTTTGCTCCGCAGGAAACCGCTTCAGCAAAGAGAAGGAACTCCCATAGGTTGGGCATGTTTGGCTTTCAGTCTGGCAGTTTGTCAAACACGGACAACGGGTTGAAGATTTGGGGGTGATGATTGTTGTTGCATGCTGGTATGAAAAGACTAACAGTGACAGACAATCAAATGGCCCTCAAAGGTTGTTATTACTCTAGCGTACTCTAGCTACATTTGGCAGATTTCACGGTTTCACGTCAACCTGCAACTCTGGCCACCAACCTTCAATTGTTGGTTAGTTGTTTGTTTCTATGGGTTTCTGCTGCTGATGCTACATGCCTCTCTTGCAATACTAGTGGTCCTTTTCGATCTACCGAGAAATCTGAGGTGGATAGTACCCCATTGTCACACCTGGGGTCCTACATTCTATTACATTGTCATGGCTTTCCATGTTTTCAGATATTTTCAGATTAACTGGAGCATTGAAGTAGTGGAGAAGGAGACTTGTTCCTGCACCTTGGATATCATGAATCATGAATATCATAATGTACTCACTAGGGGCTGGCATCGCTACTAGGAGCAAGAACGCTACTAAGGGCTCGTGGCCTTACTACTGGGAACAAGGACGCTACTAGTAACAAAGGGCATCGCTACTAGGAGCAAGGAAAAAAACAACTTCTCACTCAGGAGCGTTACTGTAAAGTCTATAGATGTTGCAAGACTTTTTCCAGGCCCTTTCACCGAAAAGAACCGAAGACCTACGAGTGGGTCCTGCAGGTCGCACAGTTGGTCGCTCCACATGATTCCCACCGTGGCATGCTGTGGACGAGTTTTTGCACAGCTGGGCCGACGCCAGGCAGAGTGCAAGCTGAACGCCTGAATCATCTGGCAGCTGGCTGAGAGGGTGAGAAACTCTGCGCATGTTGAAATGATTAATTAGATGAGGTTTTATTGTTGGCATGGCCAAGTCAGATTCATTGAATCGATATATATATATATATTATATATATATACAGATACATATATTGATTGGTACCACGAGCTAAGAGGTCAGGAACATCTAGAAATGCCCTAGAGACCAAGAGACAGAACCACTCACCACATTGCATACCACTTTCACTATATTCCTTGAAAGTTGTTCATGAATGAGGATCCTCTCCCAAATTCTTCCCCACCAAGACCACAATAATATGATAATTATGGCAAATGCTGCGGCGTGTTGTTCCGTTCATCAAAGGCACACATGTTATGTCCTAGTAGCGATGCCCTTTGCTCCTAGTAGCGTCCTTGCTCCTAGTAGTAAGGCCAGGAGCCCCTACTAGCGTTCTTGTTCCTAGTAGCGATGCCAGGAGCCCCTAGTAGCGTCCTTGCTCCTAGTAGCGATGCCCTTTGCTCCTAGTTGTCATGTTCCAACAGATCTCCTCAGCTGGCGCCGGTGATGCTTCCGTCGCTCAACGGGTCCTTCGACCAAAAAGCGGCCGAAGCGCTCCGAACTGGTCGGGCCGTGTCGGTCGGAGAGTCACGGAGAGTCACGAAGTTATAACGCAAGAGGCAACCATGGTGCAATCACGTGCGGTGTCTACTTTAAGACTCAAGGTTTGTGGATTGTTTAAAGATGATTAAACCTTTTCTTTGGTGCTATAGTCTTCATAGTCTTCAGATTGAGTAGTGTGGAGATGCAACAAGGAGTGTCTCAAAGTCATTCACGATCACGAAATTGGCATGAGGATGCATCGCCGTAGGAGGTTCCATAATGCTTGGTCGACTGCTTGGTCGACTGAAGACTCACCTTGGGGTGCGGAGGCGCGAACTCACGTGCGCAAGTCGTAAGACCCATCGAGACCCCAATAAGCTACTAGGAACAAGTGCCACGCTAGTAGTAACAAGTGCCTTACTAGTAGTAACAAGAAGCTATTAGTAACAATAAGCTACTAGGAACCTAGTCTTTACGTTTGGTGTCGATGAATGTGCAGGGCCGCTTGGGCGTCCATGAGGACGGAAGCGAGTCCAACTTGAGAGACAGGTCCAGTCAACGCGGTCAAGTCTTATCTTAAGTTTCTTTTGAGACAATCTGTGAGACAGATGGCTCAAGGGAGAAGTACGGAAAGGACAGACAGGTAAGAATGCAAGGCGTGAAGCACAGTAGAACTTTAACCGTTTTTCTATTTTCTTCACTCCTTCCAAAGGATCCCATCAGGCCTCAAGTCATGAGAACTCAACTTGCTGATGTGCCGATCGAGTACTTCTACACCCTCATTGGCTGGCTCGAGAGGGTGAATGCATTGCTGCCAAATCACGTGATGACAGGATTTGCCGTGAGTTTTGCGCTTGGGTGTTTGCTGCTGTTGCCAATTCTCTGCATTGTCTTGAGGATGGTTTGGGCAATTTCAAGAGTTGGACCTGCCAGAAAGACCATGACAACCTTCTTTATTCTATGCTTGGGAGTGCCATTGTATCCTGTGTTGGCAGCCCTCCTTTTGGCATTGCTTTGGTTGGGGATAGGGTGTTCTATGCTCATCGTGTCAAGCTTTGGCCCTGCAGCGCTACTCTGTTGGCTTATGGTGCGCTTATGGGAGTTTCAGCAGGAATTTCTCGAGGTCGAAGAAGAAAGGAAGAGCGAAATGCAAAGACGCAATGAGGTGGTCGAAGATATTAGTTGCTGGGAACTTCTTTGTGGATTGTTCATAGGCATCATCAGTTGCTGCAGCTTCGGCATGTCCCTTAGGCAACAAAGCACGTCTTGTGAAATGAGTGAGTGAAACACATGAGTGAAAGCATGATGTGTAAATGCTTGTTTGTGTACATTTCATTGGTCCCCGTCCCCACCAACCCACCTCTTTATTGCGGCAAAATTCGGGAGACATCCAAGCCAAACATATCACCCAAAGAGGTACGTAATTGCAGCACGTTGCCAGTCCTGGGTGGAAGGATCAAAATCGACCTCGGGCAGCCATGGGCCCCTGTTCAAAGCCTTTGACGCCAAATGATTGACAACATTTTTTGAGACACAGGTGTTGACGAGACCGGTTGTTTTCAAAGTGACCTAGGTGGCCACACTACTAAGAATTATAGTTTAAACAGTGAGCTGTGAGACAAGTGTTTTTGTTCCCAGGTTGGCACTTCTGCTGACCATTTTGAAGTCGCCCTTTGTGATCATGTCATTTGTGCTGCGGTTTATGTACGAGTCTCTTTGCCGTTGGCTGGTGCTGGTTCATTGTCCCCATCGACCGTTCTGCTCAATGTGTGCTCCACATCGCATGGTTCAGATAGGGGGCGAGGACAAGACCATCCAAGACTTGCGCTCGGAGGGAGTCTCTGCCAAGGACTTGAAAGGCCTCGGAGTCGATGTAAGTGATTTGTATGCTGCAGGATTTTCCATCTCCGAGCTTTCAGAGGCAGACTTCAGGTTTGGGGACTTCAGTCGGGCAGGACTGGAAATCGACTGGCGGTGGCATGACTACGGTGGATGCAGCTGGTGGGGATGGTTCCCCCTCATTTTCTTAACATGGCTGAGTTCTCTTGCGTGCCTGATCGTCATGCTATTGCTGGCTATAGCTGTAGTGTCTTTGGCGAAGCTGATTGTGGCCGTGATCTGGCCAGCCTACATCTCTGCTGGGTGGTTACGCATTGTGGCGCATGCAAGGAGGCGACCCAGTGCAAGGACCTGTTGTGAGCCATTGGTGCAAGGCTTGAAAGCAGGTTACCAAGTCGTTTGGGCCAGTTCTCTCCTCACAAACATTTGCATCTCGAACCGGACTCTACAGGCAAAATGGGAGCTGGTTGAGCAAACGGTTGGTGAGGGTCTTGAATTTGCCAAGGGTGACCGTGCAGAATTGTCACCCGAAATTCGAAGCCTTTCACTGTTTCCGCCAGTTTTGGTGGGACTTTTTCACAACTCCTGGGACTTGTCTTTGCGCACCTTGGCGCATCGCTTGGGAGTTTCACCAAACATGGTCCAAGAAGCTTGGCGGGGTTTGGCACGTCAGATGATGTGGTTTTGTCAAGCAGCGGTGGAGGAAGGCCTTATTACGGACGAGTGGGTCCAGGAGGTTCCGGTGGGGCTTTGTATCGGTCTGCCGGCACGTGCTTTTCTACAGGCGGTTGAACGTTCTCCCCCCCGCGAGTTGGTGCTTATGGGGGGGCTCAGGGTCAGTGCAGACAGGGCCGCTGAACTTGGAGGCTTTGCAGAAAAAGTTTGGACACTTTTCTGCAAAGCACAGGATGCAAGGAATCAAGTCGAAATCACTCCAGCAGTGCATCGATTGCTTTGCGCAAGGCTGCTGGCCGGGGGAGAGGAACCAGGTACTCTTCCTCCGGCCTTGGCTGATGCTGTTGAACAATATGAGAATCTGTCGGAAGCAACCCATGCTGCTTGCCAACGGGTGCTACAGCCTCTACTGGAATTTGGACTTGCGTGTGGCGAGCAACGCCAATTCAAAGAGAACCTGAAACTTATTATCGAGTCTTTGCCACACCTGGATTCCGAATCAATTCTTCAGTATCTCTATCAAGATCCGCGATTGAATCTGGAGGACGGAAGATCTGAGGGTCAGTATGTATTTGCAGCTCCGCTGCTTGATCTTGAGGCTCAGTATGTCTTTGCAGCCCCCCGTGCAGATCTCGATGTATGATCCAGGCTCATTTTGTCCCTGGTGAAGATTCCGAAGCAGGTCAAAAATGCGGACTTGGATTTGACCGGCAAAAAAACATGAAAATGATCATCTTCGCCATGTGTCACCCAAGAATAGCATGACCAAACAGGTGGAATCCGTGTTGCGTTCAAAGACTCTGCCAGTGGAATCCAACACCTGCAAAGCTGAAATTGCAATCCTTCCATAATTCCTGATTAGTTCCCCAGATGCCTTTCCACAATATTTGTTGAGAACCAGATTAATTTGTTGTGAGCATTGGTCGATCCGCAAAACACGCACAGGCCATCAACTCTGGTGCCAGTGGCGGGGCAGCCTAGCCGAGTGCTAGTGCATTGATTTGTAAACCCTCGCTCCAACAAACATGGAAATGGATAGCCCCTAGTTCGAGGCTCATAAAGAAAAAGATAACGTGTGAATTGACCAATGTTGGTCATGTTTTTTTACAGCCTGGAGCCTTTCTGCTATTCTATGTCATCTGGAAACACTAGGTAGGTTCTGGCGAAGGCACCATGCTTGTGTAAGCACGCGAGTCGATTCCACTGAAGGACCAGCTTGAGTATGTTCTCTCGATTTCTCTCGCGTAGGTCGTGATCTAGGAACGCATGCAGAAACAGGCGCAGCAATCACAAGGAATTCTTTACACAGCCCTCCTGAATACAAATGTCGCCCCCCACCACGCTGAGGAGCAGCAAACCGACATGAAGACGGCGAGGACGTTGCCGTAGTGTCCGCTGCATATGTTGCCAAAAGAGACGCGTGTTGCGAGCGACATCCCTGGTCAGACCCAAACCTGCGTTGATGAGTGGAGGCATGAACACAGAATATGTTGTTTGTTGCATGTTGTTTTAGGTGCAGTAGGTCTGAGTTTGCAACTTTGAAGACAAGGCCATGATGCCACACCAATTACATGTTTTAGACGTTGCACACACAGACTGCATGCATGTTGATGTTTCAGATGTCCAACATTGCATTGCTGCTATTGTTCTTTCGACATGAATTTGCTCCCAAAGGTGCCAAAAAACAGGTTATCCATGCGGAGTCGGGCTGGCCAACACAGTAAAAGGTTGGTACGTGCGGTGGCACCAAGTCATCGACCGTTTGTTTGACCACCTTAGGTCATGGTGGTAGGTCGTGACGGTCACGGTGGGGAGCCATGTTTCATCATGCCCCCAGGCTGCAATAGGCTGCACAGGTCCATACAATATAAAGCCATTAAGTATCATTTAGTAGTTTAAGTGTTTGCTGGCAGGGTTAAAATTCCTCTCACGGAGGGTCAGACTCATGTGTTTGAGGGCAAACATGTAGTTTCGTAAGGGTCTGTGAGATGTAGGTTCTCATGGTTTTTGCAAAACAACCAGGGGTCTTAATGGATGGATGGAACCCCAGATTTGAAGAATTCGATCAACTGGACAACGCCAAAATCCCATGGTTCAGGGTCAAAGTCTTGTGCATTTGAACGTCTTTGAACGCATCCATTCTCATGTTCAAAGAGGGTCAGTGGCTGCCCGACATGCAAAACCGAACGCGTGGATGAAAATAATGACACGCAAAGAGTAAGATGCATATCAAATCAAAATCAAATCAGATCACACCCTAGGGACCCTAGCGTAGAAATGCAAGCGAGAACGGACCCTGAACTGCAGGTCAGAAATAAAAGTGAGCATACAGCGGCATATAAGGACATGCTGCAGCTTGCATGAAAATCATCCGATCAAACCTTCCTCAGGGCCGAATATGGCATCATTACTTAGCATATGGTGCTATCCCACAATAGTGTGACCCCAAAGAATGAAAGAACAACCTGTGCCTCGCCTGTTTTGAGCTTGCATGGAGAAGAAACCGCTTCAGCTTGAATTGGTGTCAAAAACCGAAGTTCTCAGAGGGACCACTCGCTGGACTCTGGCCAGTGCCATGGTTCGCAGGCTCATCTGGGACAAGCGGATTCGGACAGGGACGAATTTCATCTACTACCAACGTAACAAGGGCATCGCTACGAACGGAGCGATCGGACGCTACGAACGGGGCGCTCTCCTCACCGAACGGAGCAAAGGATGCTAGTAGTGTCCTTGCTCCTAGTAGCGATGCCCTTGTTAGCTATTTCTAACTGTTTCTTCCCTCGGTCCCTTGAGTTCTAATTCGAATTACTAATTGTTTCTACTAGCTTCTTGTTACTACTAGTAAGGCACCTGTTACTATAGTAGCGATGCACTTGTTTCTACTAAGCTTCTTGTTACTACTAGTAAGGCACCTGTTACTAGAAGCGATGCACCTTGTTACTAGTAGCGAACATTGTTCCTAGTAGTACGGCCAGGAGCCCCGTTCGTAGCGTTCTTGCTCCGTTCGTAGCTCCCCGAGGGTTTGACTCCCGAGACCGAGACTAGAGCCGTTGACAGCTCCCTTCGCATCTCCCTTCGCATCTCGCAAACTGTGAATGAATTTCTCCATCTACCGTATATGCTATGTTCATTGTTGGTTTGCCTGGTTTGGTTTTGCGGAGCGCACCTGCCTGTGAGCCCCAAGTTCTGATATGTTGTGCCATGTAAAAACAGTCTCGACAGTGCAACATGAGCGATCACCAAGTCAATTATGAAAATCATGTGTTTTTTCTGACCCAAATGAGCATGGATGAAAAGGGTCAACATGCAAAACCTCCAACACAAAGAAGCAAACTTAAATGCTCAATCTTCTTGAGGAGTTCTCCTCCAAAAGATTCATTTTCTTGATGAGACCATTGCTGCGTCATATAATGTCATACCATATGCATGTTACATGTTTTATCCTCACATGTTCCCATGTTTTGATTTTTTTTTTTCGCCAGTGTGATTGCCTTGGCTGTGTGTTCAAAAACACTCAGCCTTCCTCATTGATAGTTTCCAGTTTGAGTTATTCTGACACCGGGGTATCCAGCTGCAATCACTAACATAGCAGAAAAAATCCTAGACATTGGTTGCTCTAGTGTAATTTGTCATGAATTTTGGAACCGTCTTGGACAGGTTGGTAGCTGTTGCCGTCGACGCCTCAGGGGCCGCACTGGACAGTCAGGAAGCTGTGAACGCTTGGTTTTGTCAGGAACGTTTGAGATCAAACTACCCTGGAACTAACATGGAAGTGGATGGCGCCCCCTGTTTGGTATTTGGAAATGGTCTTCCAAGTGGCCATGTTTCACTTCCATGTTAGTTCCAGGGAGTGTACTTCCGTCTAAACCGCGTGGCACTTGGATCATTTTGAGTTGGTTGGTGGTGTTCCTGCTGCGTTTATATGGTACATCATGGTACTATATTGGCACGTTCCCTGATGGGTCGGGGGTGGGGCTGGCGAGACGTGTTTTTTTCTGCATATGTTTTTTAGTTTTGCCTTTTTTGAGGACTTCCCTTTAGGTGCAACACTAGTGAAATCAGTTTGCCTTATCTCAAGGGCGCAGAAACAGGTGAATAAGAACAATAGAGGTTAATGACTCCGTGTTTCATGCGACCAGCGGTATCCAGCCATTCGACATTTGCCATTGCTCAGCCAGTCGACAGGTGCTGGTCATCGCACTGCATGTGTGGATCTCGGACGATCGACCGGATGGACAAATACGGCATGCAAACCCGCAACAGAAAGCAACATGCGAAGAGACAAGAAAGAGAGAGAGAGAGAGGATCGAGAAACAAGGACCAATGACCACTCCAATGACCAAAATATGAGACCTGTACATGTCAAAACCTACATGGACACCTTCACGTCTCGGAAGTCACCTTCAGTCCGCCGACTGAAGCCTTCAACCAGGTTTCACAGCGTGTGCCGACCTATCTGAACACTTCTTCGCGCGCCGCGCGCAGCCGCTCACAGCGCGCCGCGGTGCAGGAAACCGTGCAGGTGACCCGGAGGGGAAATTGGAGATCGAAGTGGGGACAAGCGCAAGCCGCAAGACCTAAGGGAAGAGTCGGAAAAAATCAGACACCAAAGACCTGAAGATTAGCAAAGCACGAAGGCTGTTTCTTCATGTTTCATCCCAGTTCAAGAGCCTTGAGGATTTATGCCCAAGATTACAGAATCTATATAATTGATAAGAAGAATCACTGGGATTGCATCCAAAAACAAAAGAATGACAGGCTCTATCGGTCACATACGGTCGCACGGGCTTTAAGAGACAGTGTTGACCCGAGGACTCAGAATTCCTCTCAGAGGTCAAAGCAGCTTTGGGAGAGAAGGCTGGTCGCTGTGCGTTAGTGAGAAGGGTCCATGAGTCTCAAGATAGTAACAGCGAGTAGAGTGCTCATCGGACGAGGACTTTGGTGGTGAAATACCGTATGTTGTTCAGTTTAATTCAACTATAGCCAATCAGAGGCCGAATTGTTTCATAATTGGAAGATCTACGTGTATATATATATTACTATATATATATATATACGGATGATGCTGCTGCTAGCTGTGTCGTGTGTTGCGCTGTTTCCAGCAGTAAAGCATCAAAGGCCCGAAGGTTGGATTCCTTTGGTTATTTTTTGTGTCCAGGTGATGGAATCCACATGTCAGGACGGGATTACACACGAAGAGCTGTGTTCTAATTGGCTCCGAGCCCATGTCTCCTTCTTGTTCAGTTCCTCAAGTTGTAGCTTGCTGATGCGTAGTTCCCACGGGTGTTTTTGGAGGCTAATCCTTGTATGGCAACAAGTTTTCCAGACCAAAAGATTGAGAAGTGATCACCTGTCAAGTTGCATGGATGGGTTTCTCAGCAACTCTGCTGAATCTTCTGTGACCCATGAACCAACATCTGTTGACTGCCCTGTAGGCCATAAACTTGTCAACACCCTTCAGGAATCGCATATTCTTTCGAAGATTAAAGCATACAGGGATAATGCGTCGGGATGCCTGTTAGACCTTGGGTCCACTTACTGTGTCACATTCACATCCCAAAGCTGAGGACATTCACCCACAGTTCTTGGGGGATCACCGTTGCATCTGCATTGTTTTAATCTCAGGGTGTCGCAGGCACATGCAAATCATAACACGCATGACACAGACTGCTCATTATGCTTTTCGTGGAAACGAGCAGACACATGTTTGGCAGGCTTTTCAATGGTCAAGTGATCTTGGTGCAGCTAGCTGGACAGAGATCTTAGAGTGTCGGGCTTGGTCAAATCTGCACGTTGAAGTCAAATTTGAAGTGCGCACATCATCACTTCGCCTCAGCTAAAACGATGCTGAATGCAGATGAAAACCTTTGTGACTTTGTGGAACATTGGGAGGCTTTAGCTTCATTTCTCCTTAAGCACAATTACTATTTGTATTTATTTGTGATGTTTGCTCAAGATGTGTTCTACAAATCCTATTCTTTCATCTCAGCCGCAGTTTGCTGGCTCCCGCGTTTACGGATGACACCGACAGACCCAAGGCACTCGGATGACTTGGTAAAGGCACGGAGCCAGAATTCTCGCAACACCAAGAGTTTTTTGGTACTAGATGGCCTGTCGTAACTGAATCTTGCATTTCGGGTCCAATTGAATCCATTTGACTCATTTGCCTTGGCTGGCAACGGTGCCTTTACAATGTTTACAAAGTGTTTACAAGGAGTCAAAGGTGCATGTTCAGATTTTATGGGTGCTTGGTGCTCGAATCCAATCCAATTCTTGATTTGTTTGGAAGCTAACTGGAAGGTCAACGGACGCCTGTGGTCGATGCTTTTGTTTTGCGTGACAAAGCGACTCCAAGGCCATTCAGTCTCCAAAAAAGGCAATCCGAAAAGATCCTGCTTTGGGCGTTCCCACAGAAATGAGAATCTTGCTTAAATTGACGTAGCGGAATGGCGAAAAAACAGAACCCTGTCACTTCATCCATCTTCATCCCTTCTTCACGAGACGCTGCAGGCGACTGGTGATCCAGAGCTTCTCGGCCGCCTCTTGTGCTGCGCCAGCGCGGGCGGCGCGCTGCCGCCCTCCCTGGCGCTCTTGAAGTCCCCGAGCCTGCGACCCGCTGCCGCGTGGGTTTCAAGGGGCGAGACTGGAGGGCGAAGCAGGTGGATTTTCAGTCGTTTTCAGTGTCCAACAGATGTGTCAAAAGAATTGGGCTTGACAGAACGTGCAGAAAGAACTTGTTGGTGATGTGTTTGTTGGGTATCGGTATCAGAGAGTTCAACTTAAACAAAATGAGAAAATCAGTTGGGAAATCCCAGAGATTCTCCCATTTGCTTTCAGCATGCTATATATATAGGGTTTCTTCAGGTGTAATTAGTCGGTCGACGGCCGGAAACCAAATCAAGACTCATGTTACCGAATCATAGGTCTTGGCTTCAAAAATAGGGACGAGACGCAAAAGACCTGGCCGACTACGGGGTGCATTTGAGGTCCGGATCTTGCTTGAGCTCCAGCGTTTGGAAGGCTTGGATGTCCGGCGGTTTGGGAACTGTCAGGCGTGGAACACGCAAGAAATTATGGGAGTTCGACACGGTATGGAGGTTTTTAGAGTTGACTTCATATGGTTTCACCCCCACATTATATATGACCCTGACAATCCGATCATGTACAATTCACATACTTGGCCAGTCATGCAGTATTTACGTGTTTGGTGAGAAATGTGGCTATAGCGCTTCTTTTGGATTCATAGGCAACAAACATGGAACATAATATACGGGTATATCAATTAAGATGTACCCGAGGGCAACATGTCCAAACATTCGTCAAAATCTGTCCATTTCTCGCAAAGCGATGGTTGATTGCCAAGCCCCAGGACTATACATATGCCAATCCTCAGGAACACGCCATCCCCGTTCCGCTCACGCAGACGTTCTTGGTCCTAGAACGGGGTTGGCGGATTGGCTGACGGTTTGACCGGGTTAGTTCGTCTTTTCTCGGGCTAAGCAACGTGGTCGAAGCAAGGGATGTCCAGTGGTAACTTTAGTGGACTCCTCGTTCAAGGGCTGTGAAGGACCCTGTTAAAAGTTTCAATCGATGACCAGCAAGCTGAGCAATGCGGTGTTCTGATCGTAATGTATGCTAGTTGAGAAGCCTCAGCCAGCTGGCTCAACACCCTTTATATCTTGGAGGTGTCCCACTGCCTGTAACAGTCAGTAAATATAGTAAATGTTACTTAAGAGAATGGCCTTTACCAACCATCATCATCCACTCTTACTGGTAATTGGATATATGATATGTCCATGCTAAAATTGTTTATCCTAAAACTGTAGTGAAAAGCCGCACACAAATTCTTGGGGAAGGAGAGCACGAGGGAAAGCATCTGCCTCAGTGCGACTTAAAACTCAGCGACGGCCCTGTTTTTTTGACGAATTCCCTCACCTGGACCCTCCAGGTCCAAGACCTCCAACATGTTAACCGATTGCCTTTCGACTTCGATCTCCAGGTCAGCAAGTGATCGATTCACTCATCGATTGCGCACTGGAACAGATGGAGACGGGGCAATTGGATGCTTGTGGCTAGAAGAAGTGTTATTTTCCGATCTTTGTCATTTTCCCATTCTCCTGTTCTTAGCCTTCCAATCCTTCCAAAGAGCCTAGCTTCAAGCAGTATGTCCCACTTCATTCAGTGGAGCTTTGTTCAGTGGAGCTTTGTTCAGTGTGACCATCAAGAGAGCTCTTGCTTTGCTGTATTTGGTGATGCTTGATGTCATGAACGTTGGTCATGCTTGGCGGCTAACATGCATGCATGGAGAATGTATAATACTTGTACCACTGACCACTGCACCTATGAGCCTCGACGCATAATACAACTATGAAACACTTGTATCCATAGCTTCCTCGCCATTTGATTCCAAAAGAGTGGATTGTCCATCCCCACAACAAATCTTGGCCATTGCACCAGTATGTAGCAGCTAATATGGCTTCCAGAACAAGAAGGTACAAGAAGCAAGGTATGATCTCCCTAATGGAGAGTCTCCCCCCGAATCTAAAGCTTTATAGTACCTATATCTCTATGACCTGAAACCTCCAAATCCCAACACTCCATTTTGCCCAACATCTCAGACTTATCGGCTTGATCGGCTCGTGTCCTAAGGACTGGTCCTCCATCACCGATCGACTCCCGAGCTCCACGCCACGCGCGGAGGCCGCGGCCCGCGTGGCAGCTCGGCCGGCGGCGGAGGCGGCGGTGCGGCTGATGACGCTAGGCGTGGTGGGCGTGGAGAGCACGTGGAGAGCGTGTGGAGCTGGAGGGGAAGGAGGAAAAGGATGGAAGGAGATGGTGAGGTGGAGAGTCGTCAAGGAAACAAACCGGTTTAGACGTAATCAGTCGTGACGATCGATGCCGGCGTCATCCCCCGGATGACGAGAGGCAACGGTATAGAGCCAGTGTTCTGATCGTTGACATGCTGCGGATTTGCAAAAACTTCCGATCGATGCGTGCCTGCCGAGAGCCCAAGGCTTGCCAACGTCGTTCCCAAGGTGTTCGCAGACAATCTAAGATTTGGTTGGCATACACCAGTCACATGACTTTTCCGTGCAATATGTCTTAGGAGATGTCAGACGACCTGGAAGCGGGGCCATGATAGAGTATGGATTGCCCAGTCTACTGTAGTACCCCACAACATGTACTTGTGCTCGGAGGTGGGGTCTTGGTGCACCAGTCGATTCTGGTGCCCTTCATGTGAACAGAATGCTGCACAACTGCACAACCCGAAACTAAGAACATTACATGATCACCACCCCTTGTACTTGGTTACCCCAACTGCCCTGGTACCCCCCGGTGGATCAGGCAACAACTTGGCAGAAGAGGTCACCGTCCAGCAAGGCGGGGGATTTGGGGACATCTTCCAGCCTTTGTGTTGAACCAACTCCTTACTGGTAGCTACTTGCTCCTAGTAGTATGGCCAGGAGCCCCTAGTAGCGACGCCAGGAGCTCCTAGTAGCTTCTTGTTACTAGCACCAAACGGAATTTGCGGTCGCAGCTCCACTTGCCCCCATTTTCCCAACGATCTTATGGCAGGGTTCTTGTGGCTTACAAGGTGTCGAGCTCAAACGGCCGTGGCGGACAGCCGGCTGATTCATTTCAGGATCCATGTTGTGATATCACTATCTGAAAAGGGAAGGATGTCCTTTGTCCAAGACCACCCCCAAACCAGCTATACAGACTGAAACTCTTCCGTCACTTGATAGCGTTTGACTTCGTCTCCATCTCTCCTGGAAGAGAGGGGGGTTAACCTGAACCCAGACAGTTTTTGGGAGTCGTGGGGCCCCGTGGGGCTTTGGGGAAAGATCAGTTCAGACCTTTGGAGCTTTGACGTAGTCGTACTGACGTATACCGACATACTGATTCGATTTCATGCTTTTGGATGAACTATATACTTTGATCGCATGTGTTCTGCGTACGGCAGGTGATGGACTGAAGATGGACGGTTTGCGGACCAGTGGTGTCTCAATGAAGGGATGCTTGCAACGATGTGCTGAGACTTGGTGAGGATTTGGATGAACTACGGTGAACCCAGTTAATTCTTGTTTCTAATAGCTTCTTGTTACTACTAGTAAGGCACTTGTTACTAGAAGCGATGCACTTGTTCCTAGTAGATTCTTGTTAGACTTGGACCGCGGATGACTGCAGTGTTTGGCGCCTCCAACAAGGGTTCTCTTGAAGAAAGGGGCACAGCATGGCATAGCCAAGTTTTGCCAATTTTGGGGTGTGGTACCAAAGCAGAAGGGACGACCTCCTGCAAAATGACTCATCCAACGGCAAATGCGCCATTCTCCAATGAACTCCCAGACATCTCCATCACTGCACATGAGTTGCACACCAAAGTGGCCTGGAGTGTATAGCAGTCTTCGGTATCCCCCACACCGGCCTTCAATCGCCCTGTTTGGACATAAAACGGCGCTTCAGCACGAGGAAGATGGATGGGGACAGCACCTTGATCGCAGAAGGCATCTAATTGAGCCAGAAAATGCCAGAAAGTGTTTTGAGTCTCAGCTGGAGTCTTGTGTAGGGTGAGCTTGAGCGGTATCCGGCTCACCTTCTCAGATTCCGCAGGCTCGTTGTTTGTTTCACGAATAGGCACAAGTGGATGGAGTCTCACATGCTTCAAGTCTTGACATGCCTTTGAGCTTCACCCCCTGATGTCAAAACAACAAATTGATGTCACCCTTGATGGGGACACCCTTGATGTCAAAGTCCAGCTTCAAACCCTGCAAATGGAGGAGGTTAGGGACTTGAAGGACTTCTGCCAGAGAGGAACCTACTGAAGCGACAAGTCGAGCCGAAGCAAGCGAATGCAATTTGGAGGAAACCCAGGTTCTAGGTGGGAATCATGTGATCCGCCAGGTTTTAGACAGGGAAATGCTCCAGTAGTGGCATGGATGGAAAAGAGTTTGGGACAATTCCTATATAAAATAACAGGTCGCCTAGAGTGATTGCCAAGACCAAAAGATTCAAGAGCTGAACACTGCACCAATCCGGCTTGATCGCCAAATGACATGAAGGAAGAAAAATGTGATGAGTTGAACGAAAGGCCCAGCTGAAGACGTTGGTATTTCACTTTCTTTGACCCAACCTGCAGCCCTGCGCTCAGGTGGGCCTCGTACTTTGTGGCCGAAGGGCCAGAGGACCTGATCGGGCAGCGGCTGGTGGCGTGTGGCTTCACGGCAGAGGAGAAGTTTACGTTCGTTTGCCACAGGGCGTGGGCTATATGGGAGTAAACCAGTTGAGTTGAACAATCTCACTCTGTTGAGGGCCATGGATGGCCATGGAGGGAACCTCAAAATCGGATGTGAAGTTGCCGCTGTGCTTCAGCCAGGTAAGCGTGTGGGTGGCGAGCGCATTGTCGGCGAGAAGGGATTCTTGGATTCCAAGGGTGTTTTTGACACCTGAAGGAGAAAGCATCCAGGAAGATGGGTTGTGAACTATTACTTTGATAGCTTCATAATGACTTTCCTTTACTTTCCTTTGATTTGTTCCAACAGAGATTGGACATTGGGGACTGGAACCTGTTGATGTCTCAGTGTGGGAGGCGGAGTGAGGAGATTTGTGGGGTTCCACTTAAAACACTTTCATCGGAAGAGTTTCCACATTTTGTCTTGTTAATAGAAGGTCTTCCATTTGTTTTGCCCTTACGGTCTCTTGTCGTCGTATTTGTTTCCGGGAGGGGTTTCACCATTTGCTCGATGGAAGGCCAGGTCATTCAGCGGCTTTCGTGGCTCCAGGCCGTCCATAGCCCATGACGTAGAGAAGCTCCGTGGTGCTTTGAGCCTTTTAGCTACGTAGCTCGACCTAAAAAGTCCGACCTAAGAAGATAGCTTGACACTCCGACAGAGTGTCCCAGGTACTTACGTGGCAAACAAATGCCTGGCTCAGGTAAAGCTTCCTTCAAGGCTGGAGACCTACTGTACTTTGCAATGCCAGATCGTGCTGCACTGCTGGACGCCTGGCAGTGATTCTTTTGATTGCATTTTTCTTGCAGATTCGATTCTGTTGTGGTATTGACATCAGGTTTTGGATGTTTTGTGGCAGCGTCAATCTTTGCTTCCTTTTCGTGGTAGCACTACTACTACTGATACTACTACTACAACAACAACAACTACTACTACTGATACTACTACTACTACTACCACTACTACCACTACTACTACTACTACTACTACTACTACTA